GATACACAGGTGAGGGTCTACGATACGCAGGTGAGGGTCTACGATACACAGGTGAGGTTCTACGATACACAGGTGAGGCTCTACGATACACAGGTAAGGGTCTACGATACACAGGTAAGGTCTACGATACACAGGTGAGGGTCTACGATACACAGGTAAGGTTCTACGATACACAGGTGCGGGTTTACGATACACAGGTAAGGTTCTACGATACACAGGCAAGGCTCTACAACACACATGATGCATTGTGATGCTGATGGAGTCAGAACTGAAGCCCCGCTATTCCCCAAGTTTCATCAGTATAGTGCTTACGTGGTTTTATCTCTAGTATCGATGTGGATTAATCTTCAGGCTTCTTAGTGAAATGTTCTTGTAATCAGATCTTGAGCTAGAAACACATTTATTGGCTGCCGCTCAGAACCGACTTCAGTAACTAGACTTTACATAGTTTAGCAGCTGATCTTATGCGGATTTTTTCGTTTACAGGATCCATTGATCTTATCCTGTGTGCTGTCATGCATATCGGCGCTGTTCATATTTCTCACGCTGGCACCAGATACACTACCTGCCGTGCTTGACAAGGTATATGTTCAGTTGTTGCAGCGTTCTCCATCCAGTGTTGCTCATGTTTGAGATGTTCGCTTGTTACAGGCATTCGAGTATGCACTGTTACTCGGTGACACTTACAATCGTGGTTTGCTTGTTACAGATCTTCTTGTCTTCTGTTACTTACATGTATGATGCTCACTTGTTTCAGATTTTCTCGTCGGTGCTGTTCTCGCTACCCGGGCAGACGAAAGCGACGCGGAGTCGTTCGGTGAAGAACGTGCGTCGTCACGCCTGCTCCTCCCTCGTAAAGATCTGCAAGCAGTATCCCACTCTGCTGCTGGTAATGCAGAACAAGTGTTAGTTACAGTAACTCTGCAAGCAGTATCCCACTCTGCTGCTGGTAATGCAGAACAAGTGTTTGTTACAGTAACTCTGCAAGCAGTATCCCACT